ATCAGGAACCGTCCAAGGGACTTGAGAGCCAAAGCAGCCTTTTGTTCAGACGATTGGACTCTGCTCAAACCAAGGACTTTTGCAAGTATTCTGCCTTCTGAACTTCTTTCTTTTATTTCTTTGTTGTTTTATTTCTCTATTTATATCTTTGTTACATCTTTTTCTGTAAATATTTTAATTGCACCATTTTGACCTTTATAGTAATAAATCCTATTTTCTGAAAGTGTTGAACTGTCTCTAAAGCTTTTAATGCAAACTAAAGAATCCCTGTCTCTGAAGAGTGCTACTGTATGTAATAATCCTCTGAATATATCTGTCTGTGGTGACAGTGTGTAATACAGACGCTTATACTAATATCACAGTGTTACTGCTAACATTTGTGAGTTTTCTCCTTCTCTGTAAAAAGGTGGTGGTGGCAGTGTGAAGGGTTAATTGCCTAATTAACCTAACCCAGTAACAATCGCTGTCAGGCTGCTGGCACATAGATTGTAGTCTCACAAGCTGGAAAATCTTTGTGCAGGGCGCATCTGAGAGTGGCATTGTTACGCAAGTGACAGCGCGATGTGAGATCGGCTGGTCCTTTGGTCACGAGTTGGTGAGAAGGGCTGGGGTCTGACGCCGCGCACTGTCACAGTCAGGACTCTCAAGTTCTTCCACCCCAAACTCGCCCATTTCTTTATAGACCTTGCTTTGTGCACTGGTGCGCAGTCATGTTGGAACAGGAAGGGGCCATCTCCATACTGTTCCCACAATGTTGGGAGCATGAAATTGTCCAAAATGTCTTGGTATGCTGAAACCTTAAGAGTTCCCTTCACTGGAACTAAGGAGCTAAGCCCAACCCCTAAAAAACAACCCCACACCATAATCCCCCCTCCACCAAACTTTAAACTTGGCACAATGCAGTCAGGCAAGTACCATTCTCCTGTCAAACGCCAAACCCAGAATGTGCATTGGATTGCCAGACAGGGAGGTGTGATTCATCACTCCATAGAACATATATCCACTGCTGTAGAGTCCAGTGGCGGTGAGCTTTACGCCACTGCATTTGCACTTTACATTGCACTTGGTGATGTAAGGATTGGAATTCAGCTGCTCGGCCATGGAAACCCATTTCATGAAGTTCTCTATGCACTGTTATTGTGCTAATCTGAAGGCCACATGAAGTTTGGAGGTCTTTAGCTATTGACTCTGCACACAGATAGCGACTTGTGCTCACTGTGTGCTTTAGCATGTGCTGTCGTTTTATGTGGCCTATCATTTCGTGGCTGAGTTTCTGTTGTTCTCAGTTGCTTTCACTTTGTTATAATACCACTAACAGTGGAATATTTAGTAGCAATGAAATTTCACAGATGGACTTATTGCACAGGTGACAACCTATCACGGTACCATGCTTGAATTCACTGAGCTCCTGAGAGTGACCCATTCTTTCACAAATGTTTGTAGAAGTTTGCATTCCTAGGTGCTTGATTTTATACACCTGTGGCCATGGAAGTGATTGGAAAACCTGAATCCAATGATTTGGAGGGTGTCCCAATATTTTTGGCAATATAGTGTGTGCGTGTGTATGTATGTATATATATATATATATATATATATATATATATATATATATATATATATATATAATCATTTGTAGACTCTATAAATTTCACACAAACTAAATAATATACACCAATTTGTTTTTTTCACCAAACAAATGCAGCAGAATAAAATTTGGCCTAAAATTATTTATTTGCAAAATACCAGAAACTAAGAAAAACTTTTTTTTTCCATAATTTTCAGTCTTATTTCCTTTATATAGTGAAAAATAAACAATAAAAAGTGATAAATGAATGCCAAAGAAAGCTCTGTCTCATAAAAGAAAAAAATTAAACAAAAAAAATAAAAGGGTATAAAATTTGCTTCGGTACCGTGTTGCATGGCTGAGTAATCTTTACTTGAAGTATGACAGTGCACTGAAAAATGACCAGGACTGGAAGGGGTTGAAACAGTCTGGTCTTGAAGTGGTTAAAAACAAAAAAAATGTCCCATGACGTAAATCCAATGACAATCACATAATTTAGTAATATTGATCTACAGCCAATCACATGAGTGACGCCTCAATGACATACTATATCCTGCCATTACTATCATCATAAATTACAGTTCCTTAAAGCTGTGTTGAAATACCAGCAGTGCCAGGGAACTGACGTCACCAAGGATCTATTGTTTACATTGTAAAACAAATCGGTGGGCAGAGGTTCAGGTGAACAGGCCAAATTTGGCCATTTAGTTCACCCATTTGATGAACTGCAATTAAGCTGGGATTGGTTTGAACTCGTGATCGACCTGAAGCTCAGTCCTTCTTATAAGACAGGTGAGATAATTCATGAAGCACAGGATTTGTACAGTTATGGGCAGATAGTTGCAAGTTCTTTTTTTCCATGAAAAAATGAGAATTTTTTTTTTATTTTCCAGGAAAATGAGAATGGGCTCCAGGATTAAAGCATGACCTATAGAAGCAGAAAATATTGTAAATAGCACTAGTCCCTTTGTATTTTTTTTTACTATTTTCATCAAATAAAGGAACATGTATTGCAATGTCATAGTGTTTCCATTTCTTGTTCTGCAAATGTGTATTATACAACACAGTGCCTAGGTCAAGGAACTATTGCTGGAGTGTATTTCTATTCAGCCCATAGCAGCCTCCATTCCCTTAAATTCTAAAGGTTGTCTTTTTTTTTCTTTTAAATAACAAACATGCTATACTCACCTGCTCTGTGCCATGGTTTTGCACAGCGCAGTCCAGATCCACTTCTATTTGGATCCCCCACCGACAGTCCTTGATCCACCCCCCCCCCCCCCCCCAGCCGAATGTCCCTAATAGCAAGTCTGTTTCTATGGGGGCACTCAAGCAGGCTCACTCCCAAGCCACGCTCCTGTGAGAGGATATTGTCCATTTAGACAAATAGCATGGCTCGGCCCCGCCCCCACTGTCTCTTCAATTTACGAGCGAAAATGCTCATAAATATGAAAAAATATTGTGTGGATAGAAATATGTATAGTAGCAATAGTGTAGTGATATTTTTTTTGCTACAATTTAGTAATGGTCTGGAGAGGGGTCACACATACACAACATCACTTCCGTTTGTATACTGTTACGTTGCTGTATTCACAGGACGTTGTACTGGATCATGTTAGAATTTTTGTACACTTAGTAGCACTCTAGTATTCAATATTAATACAAAAGGGATAACAGGCGCATGGTGTGGCAGTCCATGTATGTTTGATGAGTTCCAAATGGGCAGGGGTGAAGGTAGTCCAGTAGGCACTAAGGGCAAGCTGCGTAGGAGCGAAGCATAACTCTGCAGAAGGGAAACAAAGAAACACAGCGCCTCTAAGTGTGTACTGTGAAGGTATTTAATAGAAAGATAAGTAGTAACTCACATCTTAGAATTTAAAAACAGGCTCATGGGTAAGAGGGTGAAATATTAAATTTCTATAGACAACACAAAGACCAAAACCCACCTGGCATTTTACTAAGTGCCCCCAGGAAAGACATTTGAACTAAAGAATTATTACCACAAAAATTTGTATTTTTTGAACATTTTGGATTTTCCATCAATAATCAATCAGATTAATAAAAATGGTTAATCTATCTAGAGGGTATACATACAGCAATATAAATCTGACAGAGGTTCTAATTGTTCACTTTCACAACTGAAAAACTTGCTTTGGTATGAATACACTCTAAGGCTCAATTCACACTTACTGAGACCTGGAAGTCATGCGACTTGGTCAGGCGTCTTCATGGTGATTTGCTGACAACTTGATTCAACTTGTGTACTACTTTGATGTGACGTTATGTGACCTTGAAGTGACTTTCATGCCATGCAACTTTGCCTGTGGCCAATGAGAATGCAATGTCTCGTAATGTCAGATCAAAATCACATCAATGTAGATGAGGATTCAACTTGGAGGTGACTTCCATTAAAGTCTATGGACACAAATCAGATAGAAGTTGCCTTGAAGTAGTACAGGAACTTTTTCTAAAGTTTGAGCGACTTCAGTAGTGCTAATTAAGACAGCTCTCATTGACTAACATGAGATTTTACATGTAATGCAACGTGGAGTCTCACAAGTTGGATCCCAAGTCGTGGAAGTGTGAACCGAGCCTTAGGCAGTGTTCCTCAGTCAGGGGTGCCACCTGCATTGGTCTGATGTTCCATGCTGTGTCCCATATTGTAACACAGGGTCATGCCTTTCCATGGTGCAGGTGTGTTGGCCAGCATCATCATGAAAATGCATGACACTAATCCAGAAGTGAAGCAATGAAACACAAAAATTAGCAGAAAGATATCAACAGTGTCCAACATTTTAATAATAAAAACAAAAGCGTTTCACTGCTTCAAGGCTGGATCTTGTCCCAAGATTTCTAATGTTGATGCTGCAGTTGAGTTAAAGCTTACTGCCAGACAAGATACTCACCCCAGTGATTTGTTATCCTTTGGGTTGATACTTGTGGATATTTTTCCATGGCTGGAGGAAAGCCATAAACGTTTATTATATTATGAACATTTAGGGCGGCTTCACACTGCCCCGGTGTGGTCCCGCTGTGCTTTGGGCAGGGTTTGTGCGGGTTAGCTGTGCTTTCCCATAGGCTTTTATGATGTCCCATGATTTTGGTGCAGTTTCAGAAAGTGCGCCAAAGATGCAGCATGCTGGAGTTTTGGTGTGCTTCCTGAAACTGCACCAAAACCGTGGCACATCATAGAAGTCTATGGGAAAATACAGCTAACATACATGAAAACCACAAGTTAGCGGTACTTTAGCAAAAGTGCAGAGGGGCAGCATGAAGCTGCCCTAAACCATGTTTAATTTTTTTTCTTTTTGATATCAGCTCAGTTTTAGCATCACAACTCTTCTGGTTTTCGCTAATCTAGTGGCATTCAGGGCAGCCCCAGCATTCAGATGGAAGTTCACCTTGGTCTGCCTACCACTCATTACCATGCTGCCAAAATTGTGCTGTGGTGAAGATTGGAAGGTAGGACTTCCATGTTAAGGGTGGGACTGAGGGATCCAATGTAAGAGTAAAAAGGTGGGGACTGAAGACCAGGGGCGGACTGACAACTCATGGGGCCCCCGGGCAATAGGGGATCATGGGGCCCCTTTGTCCTTGCCCAAACTCAAAAAAGCCTATGAAAAATCTACCAGGGGCATCTCTTGGGGCCCTCTACTGACCCTGGGCCCTTGGGCAGTGCCCGAGTTTCCAAATGGTCAGTCCACCCCTGCTGAAGACTATGAGGTGAAGGGAGGAGGGGGACTAAGGACTCGGATGTGAGAGAGATGACTGAGGACTCTGAAGTGGACGGGGTAGGGCTGAAGAATCAGATGTAAAAAGGGGGAACTGAAGATTCTGATGTAGGGGGACTAAAGACTCTGATGGAAACAGGAGAAACTAGGAGCTTTGAAAGAGGGGGAGGGATGAAGAATTTCATGAGAAAGGGGGCAGGGGGGGACTGAGGACTCTGATGTGAAAGGAGGGGACTGAGAACTCTGATGTGGAAGAGAGGATGAAGGACTCTGTTATTAAAGGGGGTGTGTGAGGATTCTGATGTTAAAGGGGGGAGGGGGAGGGGGAGTGAAGACCATCATTTGAAAGGGAGGGAGAGCACTCTGATGTGAAAAGGGAAGTCCAAGGGCTTGAATGTAAAAGGGTGAACTGAATACGGTGATGTGAGGGTAGGAAGCTTAATTCTAATCTAAAAGGGGGAGGAGTAATGGGATGGGAGGGGAAATAAGGATTCTGTTGTACAAGGGTGAACTGAAAACTCTTGTAAAAATGGGAAGGACAGAAGACATTGATATTAAAGTGGGAACTTATTGACTTTGATGTGAAAAGGGGGGACTAAAGACTTTGATGTAAAAGGAGAAGGATAGAAACTCTGCTGTGAAGTGGGTGGGGGGGTAAATGAGGGCTTTGATTTTAAAAGGAGGGCCACTTGAATGAGTAGTGAAAAATCTTGGACATTACAATACATATTAATTTGAATGTGACTTATTATTACTTGCCAGACAAGTACCCTTGTTTCTGTTAGGTATGGGGGTGACCTCCCTCTTCGTAATTCCAATATTTGCGTATTATTCAAAATCCTGCTATTATAGTCTGTTCACAACACAAAACAATCATGCTATATACAGCATATGCTCTGTTGCCTCGATGTGTTCATATGATTTGCATGAAATATAAAGATTAAAAGAAGTATGGCCAAATCTTTTTTGTACATACTTTTGCATTCCTGTGGCCCAGAGTCAGCTGGCATGACAGAGCTGCTCCAAGCTCTGGAAGGATCCTTACAATATTGTCGGGATCTATTCATCTGCCTGATTGAGAGCTGGCTCCACCCCTCAGCATGAGGCTAAGAACCAGAGCCAGCTGCACCCTTCCATCCAGCCGGCATTGAAGGTGTGAGTTCTGGAAGAGCAGCGTGAAGAGCGGAGACTGTTAAGCCCCATACACGTGGACCGAATATTGTTCAATTCAGCCAGTACAGTACATACCAGATGACATTCCGACCACGTGAACAGGTGCTTGTTTGATCGAGTTTGCTGAAAAACCAGAAGCCGATTGACATGCGAGCACTGACTGGTGTGTTCTGGTGGTGGACCCCTGTAAGAACACAATAGCTCAGCGGGAAGATCACTGTACTAAAATCGCATTGTTAGTACAGAGAACTCTACATGAGCGCCTAAGTTTTTTTTAAATTTCATTTATCCCCTTCTGTTCTGTACAAAAAAAAAAAAAAAAAAAACTTACCATGTGCACCAGGCTTTAGTCCGAGACTGAGAACTGAGCGATCAACAGTCATGTGATTGCTCAGTTCTCTGACTTAAAGCCAGCGTGGGACAGCTACAGCATCACACCAATGCTCCAGTATAGAGTTGAGTATGTGTTTGTTTTTTATTCACAAACCCCAAACTTCTTTAAAAAAATTATTTAAAAAAAATGCATAATATTTGTAAGATAAGAAGTAAAGAAACTACATGCAACACATTGTTCATTCACTTTTAAGCAGAAGTTTGTAATTTTTGTCCAAATCCAAATAGAAAGGGGTTCATTCTTTGCCTATATCATTTTATGATAGTGAGCAAAGCCATTTTAAATTGTTTCCTTATGCCCCTGTGGCCAACTGTCCATCAAGAAATAGAACTTCTGGTTTATAGCACAGATATAGCCTATGATTACAGAGGCATTTATCCCAGCTTGGATACAGCTGTTTCAGTCTTTCTGACCAACGTCAATGCAAGGTAATGGAAAAGCTGGCTCTATGGAATAGAGCTTGGGGAGTACCAAAGAAAGAAACAGAGATGGCACTCAATTAATCTTAACGAACCTTCAGTTCTAAAACCTTTTAGTGATTTCCAGGGCTTTCTTTTCAACCTGGACTTTTTTATTCATTCTCAATGATAATAAGTAATCTAAATTAAATTAACGGAAGTTAAAACTTAGATTGGACGAAGGTTGGCCAGAGTAATGAAAGTTACCCTGGATTAGGCAGAATCTCAATCATGGCCTGTTACATATCCTTTGGAAAAGATCCATATATTGTAATCATATTAAAAAACTGTATGCAAATATGGACTGAGAATATGTAGATAGATTTTGTAATATTTATAGGAGACGGTGGGTGTGTTTTTTAAATAATATTTTGCATTCGCTATTTTAATTTTTTGTCAACTAACGTTATAGTATCTGTAACCTCAATCACACATATCTCTTATATACTGTAAAATGTCATTTCAAATGTATTTTTAAATAATTTCTTAATTTTATAGCTTTTATCAAAATAACACAAATCATTAGTAATACCTCACCTGGAATATGCAGTTCAGTTTTGGGCACCAATTCACAAAAAGTATACCAGAGAACAAGTGAAAGTACAGAGAAGGGCAACCAAACTGATAAGAGGCATGGAGGAGCTCAGCTATGAGGAAAGGTTGGAGGAATTGAATTTATTCTCTCTTAAGAAGAGGAAATTCAGGCTACTTTCTCACTGAGGAGTTTTTGAAGCGCTTTTGCGTTAAAAAAAACACCTGAAAAGCTCAAGAAAATGCTTCCCTATGTATGTCTATGTAAGTTTTCACACTGGGGCATTGCACTTCCCTTGCAGTGTAAAAATTCCTGCTTGCAGCATCTTTGGAGCATGTTTGTTCAGTTAAAAAACACGCCCCAAAAACGCCTCTTCCAATTGAAATCAATGGAAAACTCTTGAAAAACACCTAAAGAAGCCTGAAAAGCATCTCAAAAACACCTCTGAGAAACGTTTTTTGGTGCAGTTAAGTCACATGTCCTTAAAAAATTCTCCGAAAGCGTGGCAAAAGCTTTTGCGTTTTTGCTGTGTTTTTGTGGCGGATCAGTCTAAAAGTACCCTTTGGCTGCAAGCACACTAGATTTTTTTTTAAGCTCAAAAAAGCTGGGTAAAAAAGCACTGGTAATAGTGTTTTAGTAGCATTTTAGTAGTGTTCGGGAGCATTTAGGAGCGTTATCGTTTTATTAGTGTTTTTACAGTACATGTAGAGGTAAAAAAAAAAGGCTAGAAAAAAGCTTTCAGGAGTGTTTTAGTAGCATTTGGCAGCATTTAGAGTCATTTAGCATTTTTTTCTGCTGGATAAATGCTCCAAAAACATATTTTTTCTGCTCCTATATGCTAAAGCTTAAAAATATGCTAATAGCTTAAAGTAGTGTGCATTGACACATAGGATAACACTATTTAATAAAAGAAATGCTAATAACAGCTTCTAGGAGCTTAAGAAATGCTAGTGTGCATGGAGCCTAAGGGGGATATGATCAGCATGTATAAATACATAAGTGATCCTGTCACAATATAGGTGCTCTGCCAGCCCCAATTATTAATTTCTTCCTTAATCCCATACTTAATCCCTTGTGCCCAAATGAAGTACATCCTTAATAATTCCTTACGTTCTTGTGCCAAATGTTCCCAACTTCAATCAATACATTTCCCCCCTGTCATCCTGCCAAATGTTCCCAAATTCAATCAATGTATTTCCTCCACTGTCATCCTGCTTTATGTTCCCAAATTCAATTAATGCCTTTCCTCCCCTGCAATAATGCATTCCAATCCAAACTTCATTAGACAATTTCCTCTCTGTTGTTTGTGTTTTCGTTTGTGTATTCTAGCCCCTTTCAGGATGACCGGCCCCCTGTCGTCTCTTGTCCTGCCTCGGCTCTTTGAAGCCAAGCCTCATTGCTGATGCCGGGCTCCCCAGGCAGTCTTTTCTGCTGCGCAGCCATCGAGGGATCCCAGCTGCGGCGGGGCCCTCGTGGCTAACTCCACCAGAGACCCCCAAGGATACGGGGGACCCCACACATGCCAGCCTGGCTGAGACCCCCAGCCAAAGGGGGGAGATCGCACACGGCAGCCTTCCTCAGACCCCCAGCCAAAGGGGGGAGATCGCACATGCCAGCCTGCCTGCGACCCCCAGCCAAAGGGGGGAGATCGCACACGCCAGCCCGCCTGAGACCCCCAGCCAAAGGGGGGAGACTGCACACGCCAGCCTGCCTGAGACCCCCAGCCAAAGGGGGGAGACCGCACATGCCAGCCTGCCTGAGACCCCCAGCCAAAGGAGGGAGATCGCACACGCCAGCCTGCCTGAGACCCAGCTAAGAGAGAGACCGCACGCCAGCCTGCCTGAGACCCAGCTAAGGGAGAGACCACACGCATACTCCGGACTCCAACAGATACCTGTCTCATATTATCTTGCCCCTGGGAGACCGGGCACCCTATTGGATCCATGAGTACATGCTTCCCCTGTTTGCCTGAACTGTTCTTGAACTGTTCCTCTGCCTCACTGTTGGATTACAAACTGCCTGCAGAGACTATTCCCCTACTGGTGAGGTCACCCTCCCTGCAATCCCTCCATTGAGTGACTGTCATTTTGTCTCAATAAAGCTTTGTGTGTTTGCTATCCACCTTGTGTGTTCTGTCCTGCATACCCTCCGTCACAGCTCTATATAGTGAACTTGGTGTAAAGTTAATCACTTTAAGGTCATCATAGAGGACAA